ATCTTCTATCCGCGGAATTCATACTACATAAGCCCCAGAAGCTCCTATTCCTGCAGAATCTCGAGTACCTGCACTCTCTCTCCCACATCGCATCCTGCCTCGAAGCCTGTCCAGCTCCGCTGCAAAAATGGCCTCAGTTGTCGCATCGACCGCCGTGGTGACCCCTGTTGCAGCTCTCGCTGCTTCCAGCTCCACCAAGAGCTCCGATGTCATCTCTGTGAAGGCCGGACTCAAGGCTGGCGTCTTCGGAGGCAAGAGCGAATGGCAATCCAAGACCGCAACCAACGGCAGCAGAGTGTCATGCATGCAGGTAATTATGGATTGGACTTTAGTCGTCAGATAGAGAGCAATGCGCACGATCTCATTGGGAATGTAAACTGAATTTTCGCGGAATGGAGAAGTGCTTTCGCCTCGTTCTGTTTCTGATTTCCTGAGGCGCTGGGAATGGCAGGTGTGGGAGCCATACAACAACCTGAGGTTCGAGACGCTGTCCTACTTGCCCGCTCTGAGCCAGGATGCTCTGGCCAAGCAGATCGACTACGTCATCAAGTCCGGCTGGGCTCCCTGCATTGAGTTCGACACCGTAAGTTCTTCATCATATTAGTCCTTCATTTGAACATTTTCTTTGCGTCTGTTAGTGCTGGACCGCGAAGTGTATGCATAAGTTTTGAAGATGAGATCAGCTGGAGGGTATGGTTTTTACCGGTCCTGTTTTCATTTTCTGTTCTACAGCAAGGAGCCGTGACTCGTGAGGGCAGCACCATGCCCGGATACTACGATGGTCGCTACTGGACCATGTGGAAGCTGCCCATGTTCGGATGCACCGACTCTGCTTCAGTGTTGAGGGAGATTGAGGAGTGCAAGAAGTTGTACGGACACAAGTGCTACATCAGGTGCTTGGGATTCGACAACACCAGGCAGGTGCAATGCGCCATGTTCATCGTCCACCAGCCCACCAACAAGTAGATCATTGCGTGCTCTCTCAGGGCACTACAAATTAGCCGACTTGAAAATTTTCCTTGCAATGCGCTATGTTCATCGGTCCCAGCCCACCCAGCAAATTAAGGTTGGCATGTGCTCTTAGAGTTCAAAAGGCTGAGGATGAATCTCGACGATTACATCCGCGGGCTTAATTCAACTTGCAACTGGAGGCAAGACACGACTAGGATTTATATTAGCTCTAGAGCCAGGAATGTAGAGGAAAAGAGGCTCCAAATTCCTTTTTTCCAATGTGTAACCGCTATGTATTTTTTTTACAGACAGAGTTTGTACCATTTTTTTCTGAATAAATGTTCGGACGTTCTTCTCTAGTTCGGGCGTCTTGGGGGCCAGATCATCTGGTGACCGTTATTTTATAGTTCTGATGATGATATATCGTATCCATACTTCTGATCATCTTATGTTCTTGCTTGGATTGACCTCAGAACTGGCTAGAATAATTGGGACCTTACAGCGGTAAACTACGATAGAAACGAAAGACGGGGATATCACGTTTTTAGTGTTCTTGGTTCTCTGATGTATTAATATCAACTGTCAGCTGAACTTTTGAAACATACACTTGTCAACGTGCGAATCGTACAGCGGACGAATGAAAGTCTTAAAGAGATACATTCCGAAACCACTAGATCGTAGACAATGTACAATGGTGTGAAAAAACTGAAGCACTGTGATAAATTGAAAGAGATGTTCCATCTGCCCAGTCGTAGATCTTCTCTATCCCGCACTTTTGTTGCAGAATATACATGAAAGATAAGAAAATATCTAATTATTAGAAAATAGTTACAGACAGTAAGAGCTTGCGGCATAAACCTTCGAAATTTTCCGTTGAAACTGTAGTCAGGAAGCTTATTGAGACGACGAACTGAGTTTGGAAGTTGGTAGGGCTCGTTAGAGAGACCATGTCGTAATAAGCGCAATGGTCTCGACCAACGTCAATAATCGTCATTACTGCGGTTTTCTGCAAATCCATCTGTCCATACATATTAATAACCTTCTTAATATTATGGAGGAGAACTTTGATTTACGAAAAGCTATCTATGTCATAACTTAATTTTCTACCATTTTATTTCTCAATCGACATATTGTAATTTTTATTTCGAATGTATGTCATGATGCAATATGCATGACTGAGGAATATCAGTTGTTCTTATGCCTGAAATTGCACATATGCAACTAATGCTGAAATGTTGTTTTTTGGGTTTTTTCCCACAAATAAAAAATCTTCTTAATATGATGGAGCAAAACTTTGATTTAAGAAAATCTTTCTTTGTCATAAAGTGAATTTCCTATCATTTTATTTCTCCATCCACATATTATAATCTTTAATTCGAATGTATCTCATGATGCAATATGCATGACTGAGGAAGCTCCGTTGTTCTTATGCTACATCCAAAATGCATCACAAGAGCTCCATCCTCAAACCTGTGGTTCCCTGTCTTCTATCCACGGAATTCATACTACATAACCCCCAGAAGATCCTGCTTCTGCAAGATCTCAAGTACCTGCACTCTCTCCCACGCAGCGCATCTTGCCTCGAAGCCTCTCCAGCCCTTGCTGCAGAAATGGCCTCAGTCGTTGCATCGTCCGCCGTGGTGACCCCTGTTGCAGCACTCGCTGCTTCCAGCTCCACCAAGAGCCCCGATGTCATCTCTGTGAAGGCCGGACTCAAGGCTGGCGTCTTCGGAGGCAAGAGCGAATGGCAATCCAAGACCGCAACCAACGGCAGCAGAGTGTCATGCATGCAGGTAATTCTATATCCATCTTTACTCGTCAGATAGAGAGCAATGCGCACGATCTCATTGGGAATGTACAGTGAATTTTCATTGAATGGAGAAGTGCTTTCGCCTCGTCCTGTTTCTGATTTGCTGAGGCGCTGGGAATGGCAGGTGTGGGAGCCATACAACAACCTGAGGTTCGAGACGCTGTCCTACTTGCCCGCTCTGAGCCAGGATGCTCTGGCCAAGCAGATCGACTACGTCATCAAGTCTGGCTGGGCTCCCTGCATTGAGTTCGACACCGTAAGTTCTCCAGCAAATTAGTTCTTCATGTCAACAATTTCATTGCGTCTGTTAGTGCTGGATCGCGAAGTGTATGCGTAAGTTTTGAAAATGAGATCACCTCGAGGGCGTGGTTTTTACCGGTCCTGTTTTCATGTTTGTTCTACAGCAAGGAGCCGTGACCCGTGAGGGAAGCAGAATGCCAGGATACTACGACGGCCGATACTGGACCATGTGGAAGCTGCCCATGTTCGGATGCACCGACTCTGCTTCAGTGTTGAGGGAGATTGAGGAGTGCAAGAAGTTGTACGGACACAAGTGCTACATCAGGTGCTTGGGATTCGACAACACCAGGCAGGTGCAATGCGCCATGTTCATCGTCCACCAGCCCACCAACAAGTAGATCATCGCGTGCTTTCTCAGGGCACTACAAACTAGCCGACTTGAAAATTTTCCTTGCAATGCGCTATGTTCATCGTCCACCAGGCCAGCCAGGAAAGTAAGGTTGGCAGCGTGCTAACAGAGTTAAAAAGCCTGAGGATGAATCTAGACGATCATATCCGCGGGCTTAATTTAACTCAGAACTGGAGGCAAGACACGACTAGGATTTATGATAGCTCTAGAGCCAGGAATGTAGAGGAAAGGAGTCTCAAATTCCTTTTTTCTTCACTGTGTAATCCTCATGTATGCTCTGCACAGACAGAGTTTGTACCATTTTTTTCTGAATAAATGTTCGGACATTTTCTCTACTTCGGGCGTTCTTGGGGGCCAGATCGTCTTGTGCCGGTTAGTTTAAAGCTCTGCATTAAGGCTGTCATGACAGATGATTATATATCGCATCCATATATCTGATCATATTGTGTTCTCTTTGGATTGACCTCGGAATTGGCTAGAGATGTCGACATCTTATAGCGGAGGACTACGATAGAGACGGAAGACGGGGAAATTACGATTTCGATTTTTTGTTTCTTTGACGTATAATGTCAACTGTTACTTTGAACACATGCTGGTCAGTGTAGAAAGCGTACAGCGGACGAATGAAATTGGTGAAGAGTTACGAAACCGCATAATCCTAGACAATGTATATTGGTATGAAAAAACTGAAGCACAGTGATAAGATGAGAGAAGTGTTCCATCTGCCCCATCCTAAATTTTCTCTATCCCACACTTTCATTACAAAAATATCTATAAATGATAGAGAAATTTTCTAAATATTAAAAAAGTGACAAACAACAAAGCCTTCCGGCATAAACCTTCAAATATTTCCGTTGAAACTGAAGTTAGGAAGGTCATTGAGGAAACGAAGCGTGTTTAAAAGATGGTAGAGCTGGTTAAAGAGACTGCGTCATAATAAGTGTAATGCTCTCGACCAACGTCGATGATCGTCATTACTGCGGTTATCTGCGAAGCCATCTGTCTATAACTATGCACATACATAATCACCAGCAATTTTCCTTGTTTGATAGTCAATGCAGGTTTGTTGTCTCTCTGTAGGCAAACGATTCATCTGACACAACAACAAGCGAAAACCAGAAAGTACGTAGAAGAGGGTAAAGATGGTAAAGAGGGTGAAACAGCGAAAGTTGTTCAAGCCCGGTAACAGCGCCAATAAACACTAAAATACAAATAACAGTTATGGCATGAAATCCCATGTTACAAAAAAGCATTACATGAAGTGACCGACCTTTTAAATTCTGATTGTTGTCAAGTAGATTAACATGTCATGTTTGACAAATCCTACCACTTTTTGTTTATGTTGGCATGTGATAAAAACTTTTATACTACATAAATTGCACATATGCAACTAATGCTGAAATGTAGTATTTTTGGGGTTTTTCCCAAAAAATATTTATCTTCTTAGTAAAATAGAGGAAAACTTTGATTTTAGAACAACTTTCTATGTCATAAAGTCAATTTTCTATCATTTTATTTCTCATTCCACATATTATGATTTTTATTTCGAATGTATGTCATGATGCAATATGCATGACTGAGGAAGCTCCGTTGTTCTTACGCTACATCCAAAATGCATCACAAGAGCTCCATCCTCAAACCTGTGGCTCACTCATCTTCTATCCGCGGAATTCATACTACATAACCCGCAGAAGCTCCTGCTTCTGCAGGATCTCGAGTACCAACACTCTCTGGCAGCGCATCTTGCCTCGAAGCCTGTCCAGCCTTTGCTGCAGAGATGGCCTCAGTCGTCGCATCGTCCGCCGTGGTGACCCCTGTTGCAGCTGTAGCTGCTCTCAGCTCCACCAAGAGGTCAGATGTCATCTCTGTGAAGGCCGGACTCAAGGCTGGCGTCTTCGGAGGCAAGAGCGAATGGCAATCCAAGACCGCAACCAACGGCAGCAGGGTGTCATGCATGCAGGTAATTATGGATTGGACTTTAGTCGTCAGATAGAGAGCAATGCGCACGATCTCATTGGGAATGTACTGTGACAAATTTTCGTGGAATGGAGGAGTGCTATCGTCTAGTCCTGTTTCTGATTTGCCGAGGCGCTGGGAATGGCAGGTGTGGGAGCCATACAACAACCTGAGGTTCGAGACCCTGTCCTACTTGCCCGCTCTGAGCCAGGATGCTCTGGCCAAGCAGATCGACTACGTCATCAAGTCTGGCTGGGCTCCCTGCATTGAGTTCGACACCGTAAGTTCTTCATCATATAAGTTCTTCATTTCAACATTTTCTTTGCGTCTGTTAGTACTGGACCGCGAAGTGTTTGCACCTGATGAGATCACCTGGAGGGTGTGGTTTTCACCGGTACTGTTTTCATTGTCTGTTCTACAGCAAGGAGCCGTGACCCGTGAGGGCAGCACCATGCCCGGATACTACGACGGTCGCTACTGGACCATGTGGAAGCTGCCCATGTTCGGATGCACCGACTCTGCTTCTGTGCTGAGGGAGATTGAGGAGTGCAAGAAGTTGTACGGACACAAGTGCTACATCAGGTGCTTGGGATTCGACAACACCAGGCAGGTGCAATGCGCCATGTTCATCGTCCACCAGCCCACCAACAAGTAGATCATCGCGTGCTTTCTCAGGGCACTACAAACTAGCCGACTTGAAAATTTTCCTTGCAATGCGCTATGTTCATCGGTCCCAGCCCACCCAGCAAATTAAGGTTGGCATGTGCTATTAGAGTTAAAAAGGTTGAGGATGAATCTCGACGATCATATCCGCGGGCTTAGTTAACTCACAACTGGAGGCTAGACACGACCAGGATTTAGAATTGCTTCAGAGCCAGGAATGTAGAGGAAAGGAGTCTCCAAATCTCTTGTTCTCAATGTGTAATCGTCATGTATGCCCTGCACAGACAGAGTTTGTATCATTCCTCTGAATAAATGTTCGGACATTCTTCACTACTTTGGGGTCTTTTGGGGGCCAGATTGTCTTCTGCCGGTTATTTTATAGTTATGCATAAAGGATGTTACTATGGAGGATGACGTAGCACATCCAACATCTAATCATCTTGTGTTGTTATTTGGATTGACCTCAGATTTGACTAGAAATGTCGGCATCTTATAGCGGTGAACTACGATAGAAAGGAAAGACGGGGAAATACGATTTTAATATGCTCGGTTCTTTGATGTACTAATATCAACTGTCAGTAGAACCCTTTGAAGTCAGGAAAGTTTTGAGACAACAAAATGTGGTTAATAGTTGGAAGAAGTGCCAAAGAGACCGTGTCATGATATGTGCAATTGTCTCGACCAACGTCAATGATCGTCATTTCTGCGGTTATCTGCGAAGCCATCTGTCTATCCATATGCAATTCACCCGCACCTTTCCTTGCATGATAGTCAATGGAGGTTTATTGTCCCTCTGTAGGCGAACGATTCAACTTACACAATAACAACCGGAAAACCAGAAAGTACGCAGAAGAGGGTAAAGAGGGTAAAAGAGCGAAAATTCTTAGCCGGAGAAAGAGCGGTGGAGTTCACTTAAAGGTAGGCAAAACGCTTTCTTCAGTCAACTCTTCTGCAAAAGTGGCACAGAGTGGTGCAGAGAAAATAACCATTGATTGAATATGAACCTGAAACATGGGCCATTACTGTGACGCCCGCTGTGTCGTCACGGGGCTTCATGCCAAGCCATTCAGAAAATGCCACGTACAGCCCTCCTTCCGGTCCGTAGCAAGTTCAGGACAGTAATTTACTGTCCTTGGCACTGTACCACAGGCTTCTCTTACTAACTTGATATCTGAATGTTACACAGATAACTGTCCAAACGCCCCGGCCATGGAAGTAGCCGGCCCAGGCCATCGCTGAACTCTCGGTCATGTTCTAATGGAATCGGGGGACAAGTGTTACAGCAACTTTGATTGGTAGACCCCATCAACCCATTGACTTACAATTCCAGAACGCTAACGACGGGCTATCCAAAAAGCAACACAATGTACCACTTTGCATAACATTCGAAGAACTGTCACCTAATGTGATTACTATGCTATGGATATCATTAAGTAAGTTCTATTTAAAAAATGGAAACTGCTATGGGAATGGGAATTAATTTTGTTTGGTTGAAAAAAACAACAAGCAGTTATATAAAGTACAAATCTAGTCTAGACCAACGTCCTTTATCATGTTCTATCACATTGAATGCGTGATACTACTTTGAACAGAACATACTTTGATATATGCTGACTAGTCTGCGCACTGACATTCAAAATTCATTCTTTTCCAGAGTGGTACCTGGTTTCAATACAAACAGATGCATGAAATATGTGTCTCTTTGAATTTGTCTTGTTCAAAATTGAGTTCGTGTGTATATGATGCATTAAAATGCATTCTTTATGAACACAAATTTAAACTTTGTGTACTATCTAAGATCACTATCCTTGTGTCTAATGTTATTAGTTCCTAGTGGAGAAACTATCTTCTTTGTTTCTGGAAGAGCTCACTCTGTTGTCTTCTTGCTTGCGTACACCGTGGATCCGAAATAAGCCAATTTACTCCTTGAAGCCTCTTCAGTGCCTTTTATGTGGATTTGTCTCCTCGTAGATAGCTAAGGTGTAGTGAGTGCTTTTGCAAACTGCTAGTTTAAATGGGCTGTCGGAACAAGGAAACTTGTTTAACTTACTTTAAGGAGAAAAGAAGCCTATATCCCTCCTATCTGCGTGATTTCTAGTATCGTTCCGAGTACTCATTAGTATAATGTCAAAATCCACTCATAATTTTCATCTAATCATACTTTCGATTTGGAGATTGATTCAATTACTTACTTCATGTAATCTATTTCCCTCTCTCTTGTTTAGATGATAAAAACCCCAACGTTTCCTGTGAGATATCACTTCACAACTAACCTAGAACATTATGCCTAGCAGGTCACATAGGTGAGCACTTTCCGATCCGTGAGACTACAACAACACACCGATCCGGATCCACAAGGGCTAGGTTCCGGCGATCCGTTCCACTTTCGAATCTACTTTTTTCACTGTAGATGGAATCTCTTCAAAACTTCAGGTGAGCCAAACCGATTACCCCTCAGCCTGCTCTAACCCTAGCAAAAATTATTCTCTATGAGAATGTTAGAGATCCAAAGAATGAGGCTTCAACATCCACGACACACCAGCAAACTCACTGCTCAATCTTGGAGTCTTGAACGATTAGTGTCTTCCCTTACAACTTCCATCACCTTCACATCTAGTCTGCAATTGAATCTCGCTTTTCTCATCGACAATACTTAAACAAGAAGCCAGAAGTACAGTCGTGTAGGAAATCACTATAATTTTTACTGATAATGAATATGGGAAGGAAATTTGCAAGAACAAAAACCCGGCCGAATTTGCAAGCTCCATTTAAATAAGCAGAGTCTTTCACAAAAGCGGCGACGCCAAAAGTCCACTCAAAAACCCTAACTCCTAAAAAATTTCGAATCCTATCACTACGAGTAGTCCAGATTTCAGATCCTACTTATACTCCAAAAATCACTACTTTCTTAACTACTTGATCTTCAACTTCTTTTTGCTTTTCTTGTACTTATTCGTCTTCTTCTCCTTGTCCTCAACTTTGTTCTTGACTACGTGGCTTACATCTTTGCTTGTCTTTTGGAACCAAAGGGCTAACTTACTTCTCTCTGCTCACCTTTCAGAACGAAGGGGTGACTAACTTCTTTCCGTTCACCTTTCAGAATTGAAGGGGTGACAGACTTTAACTTTTTTTTACTATTTCTACCATGAACAATTCTACGTCCTCTAAAATGAACATTGTTCATTTTAGAGTACGACCATCAGCAAATGCATTGCAGCTACAGCTAATAATGTCAACTAACAGAAGTTTTCTTCCATTGACATTAGTTGTTGCTTTTGTATCTGGTAGCTCAATTACTATGATAAGATTAAGAAATAACCTGGCAAGTTCTAATTCAAATATTGTTACTTTGCAATGTGCTCTTCATCAACTTAATCTTATCACTAAATATGTTTCATCTCATGATACTCAGAAAAAATTGCAAGTTGATTGATTTTTTTACAAGTTCTCACTATTGAACACTACATTTTAAGAGATGTAGTGGAGAAAACAACTTTCGTAAGTTTTTGTCTAGTTTTTGTGAAACAAGATGGTATTCAATTGTACTTGTGTGTGTAAGTGTTGCATACTACCACAAAGGATTTCAACATTGCGTCAAAAAATAAAAGCTTGTTTATGAGTTTTCCATCAACAAAGATATTTTCAAGTTGGTGGAGTATGATTATCATTTTGCAATTAACAAAGAAATTGGTAAACTCATTAAATCCATAGCTAATAGTATAGCTCGTTTTAAGCAGAGTTTGATCATTGTTGATCAAAATTTTGTTGATTTCATCAAATTATATACATTTGTGAAAGCAACTGACTTCACCAAGAACTGTAGTAATTTCAAAACTCACATGATCAAAATCATTTGAAAGAGAGCTTCTGAATTTGATCATCTGAACTATTTTGTAGCTCTCTTTTTGAATCCTCAATATTAGTCGATTGCCAAATCTAGAAATAAGACATACAACAACATTCGGAAAGATATTACAAATCTTGCAAAAGTATGGAGGTTCACTAAGATGGATACAATATCCCTTCTGACGGATTTGAATGAGTACATCAATCGGAGTGGAGCTTTCACATATAGTCCAAACAAAGACTCTGCAATGAATTTTTGGTAATCACTTGTTGGTGCAAATGCTTTACGTGTCTCTATAATGAAATTTTTTCCTATTCCTCTTCATAATGCCGAAGTGAAAAGATTATTTTCACATTTCTCATTATCAAAGAAAAAAAATTTGCAATCGCATGTCGATCAAACGCATGAAGATGTTTACGATCGTTAGATCAAGTTTTAACTTATATTTAAAACCAAATTCAACATACTCTTCATTGTTAACACTAGAGCAAGAAATTTCATTTAATATAGCACTTGAAGAAGATGAAGATCTGAATATGTTACTACTGGATGAAATGACTGTGGAAGATCTAGAATTTATTTACAAGTATGATGATGATTTTCATCAAAATTTTGACACGTATTTTTTAATTTGTTAGATTTAGACAAGAATCATTTCCACAAGACAACAATGAAGATTCAGGTAGGAATGATATATGAGGAAGATTGGAATGTAAAAGACTTGTTGTCTTGAAAATATAACAAAATGATTTTATATAAATTCAAACTATTATTGGTGAAGAATTACTTGAAAAATGATTATATATATAATATTTCGTATATACATATAGGCATGCCTTTGGACCTTGAAACGTAGATGTGCATGACTCGCGAAAATTCTTTGTGACTCCAATCTTACTTGTAGCTCTCTAGCTAGCTTCTTGTTGAATCCACCCGTGCGGACAACATCTTCCATGCCCTTCGCTGCATCCGCGAAGAATGGACCCGGTTCGTCGGATGTGAAGTGGTACGGGAGTTTAAGGAATAGTTTTATGCAAATTACATGACGGTTGAAATAGAATTGGCATGGGATATGGAGAGTGTATTTGGTAATTCGATGAGGATTGGTACTAGATTTGGTTGTTCGATTACGGTTGAAGATGTTGTTTCGGTTTTAGTTAAGGAAACTGTCTCCTAAGCCGGGGGAGGCTCTTTTTCTTTTCTTACAATCTTTTTCCTTTGCGTTCTTTCTTGCCTGGTGCAAAGTTTATAGTGCAAACCTTCTACCACAGGCAAGCTTTACATGCTGCATCTCTTCCTGGTCTGGAGAAAAATCAACTAAAGTATCCTCATTAACAAGCGTTGCATTGAGAGTCTCCCCGCTTGGCAATGTACTGCTTGGTTTAGCCGAATTTGTAACTACATAATTTCCTCTAATTCCATCAACATAATTTCCAGTAACCGTGCAGTACTCATTGATATGATTCAATTTTAACAAAGCGCCTGCAATTTCAATTCTGTTCCGCGAATCTAGACCACTGCGCATCTTTGATCAGAGAAGTATCAGACGATATCTCTAGTTTAGACAGAAAGGACACTGTTGAATTTTATGAAGTACAGTTCACAACTCCGAGTTTAAGAAATAAGAAAACATGAAATTACAGAAGAATAATAATTGGTGAAAAAATATCAGACC